TGTTGTTTGTAGACAGGAGGTGTCAGCATTGCGTGCAGATTTTGTGCGGCGCCAAGCTGAAGAGGAGACCTATTATGCTCAGCAGGTAGAATTCTTTTGAAGCGTAGATTTTATGAGACTATAATGCCCAGACTTCATAGAGATCATCAGAATATAAAAGAAAGCAAGATTTAAAAGCCCTGGAATTGAAATAAAGTGAACACATTTGTACTTTTTAAATCACTTTGAACACAGGAGCTGCTGCAGAAAGCAGAAGAACAGCGCAGAAACATCCTAACACAAGAAGAGGAAAAACTAACACAGCAGAGAGCAAAGTAAGCAGCACTGTTACTGTTAAATTATGACCAAAAAAAGAATTATGTGACTTCAGGCAATTGGTTGTTGAGGCTGCTTCCTTCTTGTTCAGGTTGGCTGCCATGAAGAGAGAGCTGAAGGTGAAGGAGTTACAGCTGCTGGATGCAACTCGAAGACGCTTTCTCAAACACCAGCAGGACTTGAGAGCGTCACAGATACAGAGACTAGACCAAGAGATCAGCAGGAAGGTGAACACAGATCTGTCCGGTCATGCACAGGATGTGTTTTGTAGGGTTTTTTTTTAATCACCTGTGTAGTGAAAAAAAAGCTCAAATTTGCCAGTAAAGTATAGCTGTTATAAGCCTTTTGTTTTTTTAGTCCCAGACAAGAAAATGCTTCGTTTCATGTCTGAAAGCTTCCACCAAAAGCTGCTGACTTGAATAAGTTATATATTTAGTTGTGAGCAACACTAAGACATGTCTCTTCCCAGTATTTTAAAAACCTTTACATCTATGGGGCACATTTACGATTCACAACTTACTGCTGCATCGCTTTGACTTTACTTTAGTTTGTACGCTAGAACTTTATCACATCAGAGATTCTGGGCTGTAATCCTAAAATAAGTCAGTGTGTTGCCAGGCTGGCCACAAAGGTTTATGGATCGGTTGATATTTGTGAAAACTAGCAGAAAATCTGCAGTTTTCTTCTCAAGCCAAAATTCTAACCTGTACATTCTGCTGCAGATGGATCTCCGTGAGCAGGAGACGGCTGCAGCGGTCCAGGATCTAGAAGTCAGACAGATGGAACTGGAGGCTCAGAGGAAACGACTGGAACAGGTGACAAATGCCTTCCTGCTTCCTCACCAGCCTCTCTTATGTCACTCTGTCCTCCCTCTTTTTTTTACGATTAGTATTTCAGTTTCTTACCGAAGGGGACTCTTGTTGACCTAAAACCATTTTCTAATTAAAACACCTAAAAGCTTTAAAAGATAGCACTGCTTTTTGGGGAATTGAATAGACAATATGTTTTAGCAGATTTTACAATTCAACCAATAAGCTTTTTTCTAATTTCGGAAAGCAAATCACTTCCTGGTGTCACAGCCCTTATTGACACAAAATTTTGGTTATAGCGAATGAAAACATGCATACAACCAAACACCAAGGTTAATCAAATGTAAAACATGTTGAACTTTGAGAATATTACGCCATCTTTCTTCTGATAATCTCACTGCTAAAAGTTCCACTGTGATGTTGTTTCAATACTTTTTTTCCTTCTTCTTGTTCTTCTTCTTTTTTCATGACTGCTGTCTCAGCACTTGTTGAAAGAGCAGGAGCGTGTAGGACGGCAGGTTGAGGAGGAGGTGGAGGTGAGAATGAGGAAAGCGGAGAGAGAGGAGGAGAGCTTCACAGAGCTGCTGCACGGCACTCAGACAAACATGCAGGTTAGCGTCACATTCCAGTATAACCGTGACACGTGTTAACGTATGATCTTGTGTATCCATCTGGCTTTGTAAGAAGCTACCGAATACACACAATCATCCAAACTCATATTTTGGCACATGTACTTGTGATCGTTTCCTCTTGTGTCTCTAAATTTTTTACACACACACACACACACACACACAGGCCCTGGAGGAGTCTCTGGCAGAGGCTTGCCAGCTGGGCTTGGAGTCGGACTGGCAGAGAGAGGTGGCGGATCGCCTGCAGCAGGTCGACGCTGAGCAGGAGAGGAAGAGGGAGAGACTGGCAGAGCTTCACAAGCAAACCCTGGCAGAGGAGGAGAGACTGGCTGACACCATAAGAGATGTGGCAGGAAGTAAGGTGAGAACAGCGAGAGTGTGTTTGTCAACATGTCAGTTTACATAATGCGTCGGCTTGTCTGCTGCATGGAAAATTACAGCGGCATGATTTATGGGTGGGATTCAGTTCTATAAAAGAGCTCTGGCTTATATTAATTATGAAACACCACTGAAGACAGATTGTAATATTTGTATAAATTCATTCAGTCGTACAGTGAGTGCTTGTGAATTTGCAGTGGGATGAAGTGATGAGTACCAGAGCCCAGTTACAGGAGCAGCAGCAGCAGCCCTGGTATTCAGCAGATGCAGGTATTAGTCCATACACACACAAACACACACATTTTCTATTTCCAGATGTGGATCTAATGTTTCAGTGTTTGCTTTGTGTTAGATGAGAAACAGATGAGATTAAGGTTGCAGTGTTCGACTGGAGGACGTCCTCACAGACCCACTGCCACCACTGCTGTTTCTGTTGGAACCAAAGGTGTCGGTCCAGCAATCAGAGCCAACGGTGCTCCCACTCCGACGCAGGCAGGGACCAAAGTGGTGTGTCTGAACAGCAGTTCACCTTCAGAGAGCACCTCCACCAACTGTAAGTCACTGTGATTAACACTTTTTACTGCAAAAGAAAAGAAAAAAAACACCCTCAGGTTAAATTATTTCCTCTAATTTATGTACTGCTACTTTTCTTGTGAAAAGACTCCCCACAGGAGTTTGATCTTTTCAGAAAGGAAATGTTTGTTTCTGGTGAAACAAATGCAAATTGGCACAGCAACGCAGGGCTTTGTTGTGTAATCAGTGCTGTGATCCGTGCCAACACAACAAGGTAGCGATGTGTTGCAGAGACAACAAAAAATTGTTGCATAGTGTCTGTTGTAGGTGGGGCTGTTGCACCTTTTTTCGCTTCATCGTACTGTGTGTGTGGTCAAGAGACAGATTAGACAAGCGGCGGCGGAAGTAGTCACAGAACCAAATCCACATGTGTGTGAAAGAAAGAGCCTGCATGGTGAGACATGCAAAACTAGACTTCGGTGCCACACACCAAGCCTGTGGTTGTGCCCAGTGGACCAGCATTATGTCTGCTCACCTGGATCAGCCTAAACAAGCAACTGCAGTCAATGGCGGCATAATAAGCAGGCTTTTTTTTTTTTTTTTTTTTTAAGCAGAATTATAGTGTGATCTCTCTGTGAAAGGCGTTAAAGTGAGTGTAGCAGGATAAGTCACTGCTGGATGACACCTGAGCAGGATTAGCAAGTAGCTGCTCCTCTTTATTAAAAGTACAGGTTTAATACCTTCTATTAAGAATGAGCATTGTGAGGTGTTTTGTACCAATAATTCTGTCGTCCTTTCCTTCCTCTGCCAGTCTCCCTGGATCGGGGCCGGGCCCAGCTGGACAGCAGCGAGCGAGAACTGCTGAAGGAAATCACAGAACTGAGACAGAAGCTGGCAGCCAGAGCCAGAGAGGGCAGCTCTGCCTCCTCACAGTCTGTCCACACACTGTCCTCTGTCTCCCAGTGACCACAAACTCCTCTATGTCCTTCAAAGTGTCACAGAAACATATTCTCATCTCAAGCTCCCTAGAAGGGAACAGAAACAGTGAGTCAGACCAAGCTGAACTGAGTGGATCGCTTCTGTCTGATTACCTCTTTCCAAGGACTCGTATTCTGTCTTTCTCTCCTTCTTGAGCTACAAATTACTGATGCAACAAGAGTCAAGTTTACCTGGACATCATCAACCACTATGTCATAAAAACCCACCTTCTCTATGTAAATGGGCTGATCCTTTGCATTTCTGGCTGTGCTGTTGGTTCATACGATGCGCAGACGGTTGCGCTAGCATTCAAGTCAACCTGAAATCCATGGGTGGGCTCTCTCATAATATTCTTTTTACTTGTCTTAGCCTCTGCAGCTGGTGGACGTTACTCAGACAAACTGAGTGGCTTTGCTAATTCTGTGATCAAACATTCACTTCTTCTACATCGTACAGTATCAAATCTTGCAGCCATGGTCAACATATTAATAACACTGTCATACTACCATTATTCATGATTTTGTTTTTTTAACTTAATGCACTGTTTCTCTTGGAAATTTTATTTTAATGGATTTTATACAGTTTTATTTAAAACCTGTTTGGATAAAAAAATAAATCCTGATTGATCTTTTTGTCTCATTGGCTCCTTTGATTCATTCTGATATGTTTTCATGCCTGGAATTATTTTGTTACTGGATATTTGGTGGTGAAAGCAAGACAATAGTCAGGTTGTTTTATTGAAAGAGGCAAACTACAGACCACTGAGGACCAAACATTTAAAGTGTAATTACTGTGAAACAGCTCTGTGGGCCTCTGCTGCTCTCCGCTGTGTCTGGGTGTGTCGACAACATGTCTGTCTCTGCCTTCAGTCCCTTAAGCAGCCGGTTGTTGTCTGATGTGAGCTGAAATGACAGCTATCTCCATTCCTGTCAGTCATTCCTTGCTGTCCCTCCACCCAGCTTTTATCTGTGCTCACCTGCTCTGCATCACTCGGTCTGAAGCCTGGGGAGGAGGCTGCCAAACGACTCCACCGGGCTCTGTTATCACCGACCCAGCTAATTAACAAACAATAACGTAAATGCAATGTTCTCAAAAGCAGAGAATCATGTCTTGAAGCCAAATTTCCCAGAACAGCCTGACATATTAACATCAACTTTTCACCTGCTTATAATTACCTACTGATTTCATTGATACTTTTCCTGTGTGTTTCTTGAGGCACATCCCAAAAGCTCACAGTCTTAAACTCATAGCAGGGCTTTTACTCTCAGTTCGCACCTGTCACATCTCATCATGCGTTACAAAACCTCACCTGCCCTTAGCGGGGGCGGATCTACTTTCTCTCTTTACCTCTCTGTCAGTTTGAGTCAGTAGATTTCTCACACAAATGGATCCTGCGGAGCTGTAACGTCAGCCTTTTTATGGCTGAACTTATTCTCTAAGAGGAGCATTCAAGATGCAGCTTTTTTAGTTATTTATTTTTTGGCATGTTAAAATTTAACAGAACCATAAAATAAGACTTTTTTTTTTTCCATCCATCATCCATGGATGCGGGCAACAGTGCGTCTGTGCTGTGGTACAGGAGGTCCAAACCTCAGGGGAAAGTGAGGCGACGGGTTCAAGACCTCCGCATCCCTTCCTCCTCGTACTATGACTTCATAGCCAGCAGACCCGCTCTGGACCTGAGCCACAATGAGAGTGCCCGACTCGCAGCCGACTGCCTGCTCAGTCAGGGCTTGAAGGGATACCACGAGGTGCTGAAGGAAGAGGGAGAAGTGGACTTTCTGTCAGAGCTGGAGAAGAGTTACATTCTGGAAAACAGGAGGCATGACTACACAGGTTGTAAATGTTTGTTTATGTGTTCTTTCTGTGTAATTTTCCTGATCTTGGCAGCCTGTTGTGCTTGAAAACAAGATCATCAGGTAGATTCATAGGCTAAAAAAGATTGCTGGTTGTGTTACTTTTCATTCATACACTTCTGTGCTTTACACAGATGATCCTGGTGGAACTGATGATGATGATGACAAAGAGTTAGACAGCTTATCTGCTGGCTCTCGATCTCCCACCAGCTGCTCTGCAGTGTCAACAGACAGTGATCCTACTCTGGCAGACTTGGACCACAGCGGCCTGAGAGGTACCCCACGTGTAGAAATGTTTTTATGGAAAGCACATAATTACTGTAAAAACTCTTGGTGTTTGAGGTGTAAAAATCCTCTTAAGACAACTGTGGGTCTGCGTCTTTACTTTGGGAAATGAAATACTCAGCTTTTCCATTTTCATTAGCTGCCGTCTCCAGCTATGCCTTTGCTCTTCCAGGTGTGAATTCGAGCGGTCCTGTCCTGAGCGACTCCAGTATTGAGGTTTTTTTCCAGTCTGACAGCAGGGCCGCCGGCATGAAAGACGTGGTCAGGCAGTTCATCAGGAAGGCTGAACTGGTATGTCGAAGGGTGCGTTTGTGTGTTTCTTTACGCATGACTGTGCACGTGAGAGAAACATGTCAATACTGGATCTTGTGGGCTGAAATAGCAGATGTACAGTGAGTGATATCTGTCAGTGGTGCAAGAAGTATTCAGAATGTTCACTTAGGTAGAAGTGTTAATACTACACTATGAAAATACTTCACAAGTAAAAGTCCTTGATTTAATAATGTACATTAATAAAAGTATGTAAATGTACTGAAGTATCAAAAGTAGTACTCATTGTGTGATAAAGTGGTTCCTCTCAGTGTTTTCTCAAAATATGTGATGTTGTTGGACTAATAAATATTGCAGCAGTATATTATTATAAATAACAATATACTGCTGCATTCATGTGTATGTTGCATTTAACCACTGTAGATAGTTAGGGTTCAGCTAATTCAAACTACTTTATATAGTGCTGAATAGTTTAACCTACACCAACACATCATATTCCATTCAATCACTGTCCTGTGGGAGCCATGAATCTTTAAAAGGTTTTCATGAGCTCAGTACAACAGCCCTGTTTTCATCTTCCTTACATTTGTGCATTTTCCAGTTATTCCTAGAGGGTTATTGAATACTTAGTTTCACTGAAGATCTTTGTCAACTTCCTCAGCTCATAAATGAACACCATGTTTTTTAGTTTATCAGAAACATTCAAAAATCCTCACACTTAGACTTTTTTTGTTTGTTTGTTTGTTTGTTTTTACTGCACAGAAATGTATTGTGAAAAGTAAATAAATGCATCAGGAGGAGGAGTTAAAAGGACAATATTTCCCTCTGAGATGTGGTGGAGTAGAAGTAGAGAGTTGCATGGAATGGAAATAAGTACCTCGAATTTGTACATAAGCACAGTACTTGAGTAAATGTACATTCTACCACAGTGTGGGTCTTTATGGGTCTATAGTGGCTGACATCTTTACTGATGTGACTCCATGTGGCTGTTTAGGCTCTGGCCATAGTGATGGACAGCTTCAGTGACGTGGAGCTGCTGTGTGATCTTCTGGAGGCGAGCAGGAAGAGGAACGTGTCCGTTCATCTGCTGCTGGATCGTCTCAACCTGAACCTGTTTCTGAGCATGTGGCAGGACCTCAATCTCAACAGCAAAAACTTCCCTGTGAGTCTCTTCATTTCCCTCTTTGCATCCAACTCCTTTACTCCTGCTTGCATCAGTAAAGTTTTACAAAACTTTATTAACTCCCTGAAGGTTGGTTTAATGTCACCAATAAATATGCTTCTACTCACGATGTTAGGCTTCATGTCGTAACACGGTACGGCCTTCCAGCTACAGCCAAACACTGTACATGGAAAACATCTTTGCCACCTTTCAAATTAAAGATGATTACTATGGCTGCAACTAACAATTATATCCATTGTTAAATAATCTACCACTATTTATTCAAATCACTGATTAATTGTTTGGTTTTTTAAAATGTCAAATAAATTAGAAAAATGTCAATCAGTGTTTCTCAGAACCAGGGATGACTTCCTCAAATGTTTCATTTTGTCCACAACCCAAAGATAGTCAGTTTGCCATCACATAGGAGCAAAAAAACACAGAAAATATTAAAATATAAAAAGCTGGAATCAGAGATTTCAGCCCTTTTTTTTTGCTAAAAAATTAAATAAAATCTGAGTGTTCGCTTACGTCAATTATTTATTTCAGTATAGTTGATGGGCTGCAAGGTGGAGCAGTGGTTAGCACTGTTACCTCACAGTAAGAAGGTCGCTGGTTCACGTCCTGGTGAGGACACCCGGGATCTTTCTGTGTGGAGTTTGCATGTTCTCCCCATGCAGTGTGGGTTCTCTCCGGGTTCTCCAGCTTCTTCCCACACAGTCCAAAAACATGTTGAGGTTAATTGGTGAATCTAAATTGTCCGTAGGTGTGAATGTGAGTGTCCCCTGTCTTCACCCTAAGTCAGCTCCCCCCTGCGACCCTAGTGAGGATTAAATGATGGATGGATGGATCCCTTTGTGCTTATTTAAGAACTGCTCCATTACCACTGGATACTGAGACAGGCAGATATAAAGGTGTTTCTAAAGACCAATGTTTGTGTGTTTTTTGTTAAGTTAGTGGTATTTTAGGTGAATTTCATTTTGTATCCCACTGCCTTTTCTACACAGACATCATGAATTCTTTGCTTGAAAAAATCCAACTAAATAGTCCTGATGTACTCTGGTTGTCTGAGGTTAATAATATGTTGTTGTTTATTTAAATGTGGAGACTTTGTTTTAGTGAGATTTATTAGTATTTCTAGTGTGAGTTTCCAAATGTACCTTTTTTTTAAAAAAAAGAATTTGTCTAAATGTGTATTCTGATTAGTCTTGTAGCCATTCAGGGTATTCTTAAGTGTAAATCAATTTATGTTTTTTCAAAAAAACTTTTTATAAATCAATTTATCTTTTTAAGATTTCTTTTATTTCTTTAATTTTCTGCTTCACTCACGATGTTTGTCCCCAGCATCTATAAAGTTTGTCTAATAACTGAAGTATGTGAATGAAGGCATTTTATTTATGTAAATAATGTAACATACTATTAAAGTCAAGGCACCATCATTTATATAGCACAGTTTTAAAAAAACAAAAAAAACAGCTGCTGCGCCAAACTGTTTTCCAGTAAAGTAAGTGTATGTGTCGGGGGCAAGACCCTGTGGTTTTATTTATGATGCGAATTTGCCTGAATAATTTACACATCTTTGATTTTAAACCCTGAAGAAATACCATAAAATACTGCTTTACCTGACTATAATACATAACAAGGCTGAGACCCTACAGTATTATTAATAATGGAGATTAGGATAACTAATTTAATAATGTAGCTAAGGCCCAGTGGTATTATTAATTATGGATATTAAGCTAATTAATTTTAAGTATAAGGCTAAGACTCTTAAGCATTAATAATCATGGAGATTAAGTTATGACCCTACAGAAATACCCTTTTCTTTTTCTTTCTTTCTTTCTTTCTTTCTTTCTTTCTTTCTTTCTTTCTTTCTTTCTTTCTTTCTTTCTTTCTTTCTTTCTTTCTTTAAATCAACCAACAATCAGAACCTCATAGATAATTAGAATGGACACACTTTCTATAGCAAAGGAAATTATGTTTATTCTGCTTCCTCAAGTGATAACTTCACAATTTATATGTATTGAATAATTGTGGTGTTTTGTTTGTGTGTATAGAAGCTGTCAGTACGAAGTGTCCATGGACAAACCTACTGTTCAAAGACAGGCAGGAAGCTGACAGGTCAGATTGCTGCCAGTTTTATCATCACTGACTGGGTTGAAGTGCTGACTGGTTCATACAGGTACACGCTCACAGAAACAGTAACTTCAGTGTGTATCTGATGTGTTTACTGTCTATTTGTTGTATGCTTTCCCTCTGTCTTTCTGTTGTGAATAATAGTTTGTGTGTGTCCTGTGCCCTCAGTTTCTCGTGGCTGTCCTGGCAGGTCCATCGGAGTCTTGCCGTCCGCATGAAGGGCAGCTCAGTTGCACCTTTCCAACAGGAATTCCACAGACTCTACTCCAGCTCCAAACCAGTCGCTGGTTTTGTCACTTTCATCACTTTGCCGCACAGTCTTGGTCTCAGTTCCAGATCACATGAAGCTCACAATAATAACAGTGGCATCACTAAGCCGAAATCAAACCAGACCAAAACAACAATGTGCCTCTGGGCTTGGAATGAAAAGCCTGCAAACACTCAGACGGCTTTGTGTGATCCACCAGGCCTAGAACTGGAGTGCGGCAAAGGTGAAAACCAGACTGTGCACAGAGCAGACACTGGTTTGCAAACACAGAGTAGATCTCAACAACTGTACCCAAAACCTTTGCTTCAAACAGAAACAGAGTGTAAGGAGCAGCGTGTACCTCTGGAGAAGCCACAACAAACAGTGGGAGGTCTGTGCGCTCAGCCTGAGGCAAGAAGAAACGTGGAACCTCTGGAGATGAACCAAGGCCAGATCCACTGGCATTTAAACCCTCCTGATCAGACCTACAACCCATACGGTCAGTCTCAACTAGCCAGCTTCACCATCATCACCACCACTGAAAAGACTGCAAGGGTTCAGGAGCCAAGCCCTCTGCACACCGCCTCCCCGACACACGGACAGCACAGGACTGGACGCTATCAGTCACCGCTAATGAAGAATTCAAGTACTGATCAGCCAGATGTGGCGACTGAAGGACATTTCTTTCAGCAAAGGAGCAGAAATGTACTAACCACAGGCCTAAACACACAGAGAGGACAGTGGAACTACTCACTAAACTTGAAACCAAAGGTAGAACTTCCATCTGATAATCCCAGGCTCCTGACTCCTTCTACTCCATCACAGCAACAACAACCAAATAGCAGCTTCCAGCTTCCTTTCAGCAGCCCAAGGGGCCACTCATCTGGGCTACAAACCAAAATCTCCTTTCTAGAAACCAGAAGGCAAGATCATCTCCAGAGGCACTGCCAGTCCCCTCTTCAGTCACACCCTAACACAGATTCCCCTGGTCCAAAGTCAGCTTCCACAGGAATGGGAGCTCATCTCAAGCCTCCGCTCCAGACAAACTCCAGAGTGTTCATGCCAGGAGCCAGGATGCTGCCACAGTCTCGCGCCTCCCAGCAGAGGATCAACTGGACCCCCCAAAGTAATCAAGCTGCGGCTCGACCCGGAGCTGTGGCTCGTCACAGCTCCTTCAGCGCCGCTCAGGGGATGGGACAGAGGACAGGAGGACAGCTGGGCTGGAGGCCGTTCCAGAGCGGCATGAATTCACCGCTGGGAAGAAGCAAGAGCATGACTGATAGACGCACAGCAGGCTTCAGAGGTCTTAATCAAAACCGACCATAAACCTGACGGAGGCATACACACTGTGGAGAAATCTAGGTCACATTTATTCACCCTCAGAAGGACGCTCAAGAGCTACAGTTACACAAAACAGTGTCTTCATCTGTATGTGTGAAATATACATTCAACTGTAAATCTTCAGAGATTATATTAGATTTAGTGACGAGTATGTTATTGCTACAACACAATAAACTGTTTTTAGAGCATAAACCTGTCTGCTTTTCTTTATTAAATGTTTCTAAACCCAGGAAGTCTGTGAAACGTTCTGAGGAAATGAGATTTAAGCAGATATTTCAGCAGAGTGTTGGAGGTGATGTTGCTGCGCAGCCACACAGGTGTTTTCAGTTATTAGCTAATTAAACTTCTGCTCAGGTTGGTGCAGAGCGGAGATGAATTATGTGTTGTCAGAACTTGAACGGGATAAATTACACACAATAGAACTCCACTGTCCTGGGAGAGGAGGAATAATCAGGAAGTTAAGTGACACACCTGTTTATCTGTCAGGCAGGTGTGGTAAAGGCTTGTATTACTGTCGGCTCGTTTACAGTTAACACGCTGGAAGAACGCCGGACTGTTCTTTTTTGTTATGCTGGACATTTTCAGATCTGACAACTGATCCTAAAACGGCTGGTCGGAAGCCACCTAACTGTGTAGAAAAATGCATGAGTGCTTGAGTTCCTGAGTCTAAAATATGACACCTTCTCCCCACACAGTTTAGCTTACTGTAGCAGAAAAGTCACAAATACAGTTGATGACTTAAAACAGGTGCATTTTGTTTGGGTGAGCTGCTTCTAGAGGACTCATATTGTGCATTTTATAGACATAAATATAGACGTATACAGGTCTTTTTCATGGCAGACATTATTGAAGGTCCCATATTGTGCCCCTTTTCAGCAAATTCATCCAAGTTTCACATGTCCCCATATTGTGTCTTTCAGTTTTCAGCTCATAATACTGCCATGATGTTATCGCTGTTCTAAATGGGCTGTTTGTTCTGAAAACCAATAAGCTGCTGCTGATCCCGCCCATTTCAGGAAGAACATGCTGTCGGTGGCTGTCAATCAAAGTGTGAGCTGGACAACTATTGGTTAGTTTGGTGTCATAAGGCTCCTGGGCCAAATTCATACTCACTTGTCATTTTTATTTTGTCAGGTTTATAACAACTACACAACACGATATATATATATATATTTCAGCACATTTTTATTCATAATAACACCAACATTAGCAACATTCTAATGTTTTATGAGCATGTTAAGGCGTAAGTGATATTTTTGGTAAACATAAAAAAAAATGTCTCACTTGCAGAACATACATGATATTGTCCACAGCATGGAGTGGATGAAATATTCAGGCGTCTGTTTGGTTCTGTAGAATGCATGATAACTACATTCACTGTGCAGTTCTGCCCGTTTTTCAATTATACGAAGCCGCAAACAAAATTGTTACATTTTACGAGTGCGAGTTTGAATATTGTTTGTAGCATAATAAGTTAACATTTGTGGGAAACGTCGTCAGCATGTGTAACCATTCAGAGACAGGAGCATCAGGACTCTGTGTTTGTGCTGTGCTGCCGTCCATCAGTCTCTAACACCGACGTCAGTAAGATCTTGTTCCACCAGCGCTCTCTGAAGCTCTGCAAACACACACTGGTCAGACTTTCCCCATCCTGGTAGTCCTCCCTCATCTTTTCTGGGATCAGATCCTCTGACATCACCTGGGAGGTAAAGAGAGAGAGAATTTTACTGGTCCACCTAAATTATATTTCTAGGCTGACCTTGCATATCTCCACAAAACAAGGTCCTCACCTCAGTGACGGCCTGCAGCGTTGTTTCTTTAGGATTTAGCCGCTGTAAGGCCTCGTCTGTTATCTGCAGAGCGCTTTCGCTGCGCTGCAGCACAAAGGAGGACTGCTGCTGCCGGAGGATTCTCAACAGGAGTCTTTGGAAGGCATCAAGATACGATGATTTACACATTTAATCATAACACTGGCAACACAGATTATCTTGTCACCACATCTGTTTTATGTTGTTAGTTTGACATAATACTGTTTCATCTGTAGTTCATATGGCTCTACTTAAAATTGTGGGATAACTGTTTAAAATAACATGAGCCAATTGAATGTTTGGGATGTAACGTTTGTCTTTTTGGGTATTTTCAACTTTGGTGTGCATGTGACATATGTTAACTCAGTGGTTCCAGTCACATGTGGTACCTTGTCCTGATGAAACAGGTGCAAGCTTTGAGCCAGATTCTGTCCTCACTGAGCTCTGCTGCCGCCTCCTGTTGCTCCTCAGACTCTCCATCCCCCCGCTCTTCTGCTGACTCACAACTTTTAGAGATGCAGGATTCTATTAAAACGATAGTAAACACAGCAAAGCACGTGGCATCATGAGGGCACCTCATTTATACTATGACTGTTAAAACTGAGACAGGCAGTTCATTCTACCTGTGGTTCTGTCGCTGTCCAGCAGCTGCAAACACGTCTGTCCCAGACTGAACCAGTGCCAGGGGTTGAAGGGCAGCAGGCTGCACAGCTGCTGCAGAGACAACATCTTTGATCTGACGGCTCCAAAATGCTGGTAGATGCTGACCTTTAGGAGAAGTTTCAATTTCATATATATTATATTCCAAAAGCAAACTGGATTAAGAGTGAAATAGGGGGAACTGTGTATATGTGTGTGTGTTCTGACTAACTCTTACCTTAAGCAGGAGGAGGCTGGTCAGGTGACAGGTGTTGGAGGCTTCTTTGCTCTGGAGGGAGGTCATGTAGGTGTTACTACTGAGGTCTGGTCATGTTCTAAGTTTCGTGTCTCATGGTTGTTTAGTTTAGTACGAAATACAAGTCCATGCATTCAATGTCATGAGTTCATAAAGTTAAACTGAATTTTAAATTAAAAGCTGTAGCTGCCAAGTTGCTATACTTTGTGAAATGATGAGGTGTTAGAATAAACAGGTTTCTTCTGTTTAGTGTATTACAATATAACTGTGGCCTAATGTTCACTTTCATCTTACGTTAGACAAAATATCTTTGCCTAATAATGTTTGTAGGTTTGATAACTTGAGAAATTATCAATCAAAAATGAACAAGCTCTGGTGGCATTACAATGGAGAACACTGAAATAATGGCAACCATATACTAATGGTTGTCTATAAATAGGGATGGATATTATTAAGATTTTAACGATACTACAACTTCTACCAATACTGCTCATCGATCCGGTCCTGTAACGGTATTCCTATCTGTAGTTTTTGATAGTTGTTCATTGTTTGTTTTGCTTTAAAGACTAAAAACTAAACAAGTTTAAAAACAGAATAAGAATTACTTTATTTTCTCTGTGCTGTATTTAAATTAAAATTGATATAGACACTAATGTGTAGATGGGATGATCGGAGGTCTGTGGACAGTGTCAAAGACTTTACTCACTAAATAAAACATTAGGCATTGTGTTTCATTTAACTGACCAGCATTATATCAGAGTGAAAAGCTCCATCTTGAACATATATTAAGTAAATGTCACGACACTGTGTTGATAAAACCGCTTTCACTCTTCACTTTAGAATACAACGTTAATGCAGGACTTTGACAGTGTTTTTACTGATGTGTGATTTTAATAGTCTAGTGAAGACAACAGTAGAAGTACTTCTTCTATCATTAACACCAACATCCACTCAGAGAAACAGTGAAAATCATATAAGACAGAGTTTGTCTGCAGCCTCCAAATCACTAAATCCTGCTGCTCTGAATGTGAAACTAAAATTCTGCTCAGGTGATGCTCTGAATTTCAGACTGAATTCATAACCACAGACAGTTAAACAAGCGGCTGGAGAATACTTACTTTTAATCAGTAGCCTGTGTTCGTACAGTTCAGTTAACTCAGTGTTCGGGCTGCTAACAAACGTTAGCGATGAACTACGAGCTCAGCAGTGAAACATTTCTTTGTCTGTATGAACTTTTGCTGAATGTTTCCACAGATTACTGCTGCGGCAACAAACATTTTCTGCTACAGAGTCCAACAGACAGAACTCTGTTCTGGATTTGGAAAGCGAAAATGATAGGTGATGAGATAAAATGTGCAAAACAATGATCTTCTTACTTTCTAAAGTATCGTAAACAGAACTGTTAACGTCGGAGCTAATCAGTCCTCCGGTATTTAACAGTTTGCCCTGGGGTTCATTTAAAACCAGGGCTGAGTACTCATCCCTATCTATAATATTAGTATGTCATGAAAGTTTGAAATATCAAACTTGTTATTTAATAAAGCAAAGAGCAATCAGTGTAATGTTGTTTTTCTACAACACCAAGTAACATATAAAGGATGTGAACATGGCAGCAGGTTGTTTCAGTTACAATCACTTACATGAGTCACTGTTTCATATTTAACACCTAAACAGGAAAAGAAAAAGAAGTACCAGTAATTCTGTCAACTCCAGCGCCCTGTCTCTCTGCCCCAGTTTGGTGCAGCATCGGGCCATTCCCTCCAGCACATCTCGTCTGATGGTCAGGTTGTTGTCGGCGATCCACTGCAGGCAGCTGTTGTAGGCATCCAGGGCTTTCTGAACCAGACACATGTGAATTTTACCATTAGACATCTAAAGGTGGCACGAGTAACAACAAGAAGAAAGGTCAGCATGTGACAGATGTAAACTCAGAGTTTAATTTGGTTGAAACAGCTTCTATTTATGTTCTTACTTTGAAATTACTAAGCACACATTTATTTTCAGGTACTTAAGTATTTATGCTTGTACACGACATGAGAGTAGAAAGTGGGATGTTAAAATATAGAGGATTTAACGTATTTATTATACGTTGATCGTCCGCAATGTTGAACTACTGACATGTGAAGTGAATCACACTGATCAACTTTTTACAGTGCAGGTTGTGCTGGGAAACCTTGGGTCAGGGAATTCATGTGAATGTTAGGTTGTCTGCAGCAGCCTCCCCCAGCAGAACAATGAACCCCACCACACAGCAACAACTGCTCAGTAGCCACTTCAGAAACACAACAAAGAGCTCAAAGGTGTTGACTTGGTCTCCAAACTCCCCAAATCTCAGTCTGTGAAAGCATCCATGGGATGTGCCGAAACAACTCGGATACATGAAAGAGCCACCCTGAAGCCCAGAGGATTCAATGGATCATCGGCACCTCATGACTCCCTGAGGGCTCCTGTGTCCGTGCTCCAATGGATCAGAACTGCTTTAGCAGCAGGATGACGAGCTACACAATATTAGACAAGTGGTTGTAAAGTTGTGGCAAATCGGTGCGTATGTGACATCTCAGTAATTCAGTCTGGTTTGATTTCATGAGGAGTTTCAGTGTGTTTTGGTTGAATGGTTTTCAGATGTCCTTTATAAAGCTGTTTGAAAATACTGCTGCTATGTAACATGCTTCTAACTTGAGTCTTTTGTATACATGAAATAACTGGAACTACAGACATTCCTGTTTAGTTGCAGGACTTGTCAGCTGGCTTAAAAACCTGTTTGTTGGTAGCAGTTCCACAGAATCACTTCAGTGAAAACAATGTTGCATAAGAGTCCTCACTGGCAGGCTGGCAGACATAATCTAAATTACTGAAGGGCATGAACCGAGAGTGTCCACTTGTTTTCCTGTTAGTTGCTACATGTGCTGTGTGTCAGAAAACTTCCAGGACTGGTGTCACAAAAGATATATTTCAAATCCAAACTACAAGTTTTCCCCTTTGTAGTAATCCCCCTGGAGTCTAACACACTTTCCCAGCCTTCTCTGCCACGCCGCCATGCACTCCTGGAAGGATTCTTCCGGGATCCTCCACAGCTCCGTTGTCACAGCCATCTTGATGTCGTCCACGTCTTCTAAACAGGTCCCCTTCATGACCCCCTTGAGCTTTGGGAAGTGGAAAAAAAACCCATGGAGCCAGGTGGGGTGAGTAGGGAGGTTGCTCCAGCACAGTGATGTTCTTCTCAGCCAGTAACTATCGGATGCTCACGGCATTGTGAGCAGGTGTCATAGTGAAGCAGCCACCACTTGTCCTGCCACAACTCTCGCCTCTTCTCGTACACTGAACAAAGCAAACGCCGCAGGATCTCTTTGTAGACGTGCTGGTTGATCGTCTGAAGGGGAAAACTCGTAGTCTGGGTTTGACATATATCTTTTGTGACACCAGTCTTGGAACTTTTCTGACACACCTCATATTTCGCAGGCAGTTTCTTTGGCAATATTGGACAACTGTCTTTATTAGATATTTGAAGTTTGAGAGGCCAGACTGAGCTGAATGACTTCAGTTACCTTATAGTTCCCTTGTCTCACGGCCAAGTCACCTCTGAACTTGTAGACTTTCTGCTTCTCCAAAGAATCATCAGTATCGAGAGCAGCACTGTCACAAAACCACTGCAGAGAAGAGAAGATGAAAACTTTAAAACTCACTCCTCAAGCAGCTGACCGATAGAGACTAACCTTCACGTTTACTGTGCAGTTCATACACAATGCACTATTTACATAAATGCCACAAATACTGATGTCAAACAATATTTTTACTACATACATAATTACTACAGCTCATTCTCTATCTCTGGATTACTGCAGTAACTGTGTTTGGACTGATTTTTAGCTGTTCGCCAATCTTCCTGTATCCTTTTCCATCTTTGTGAAGCCTCAAAATCAGATGTTTTTCATTTCTCTAGCAATTCTTTTCCATGTGGAGCCATGGTGCTGACATGCAGATGGAAATAGAACATGGGACCAAAACTGAGAAAGCTGTAATGTTCACAGCTTATTTTTACAACCATGTTCCTCCAGTTAAGCTAACTTAGCTTTATCGGTTTACTCAGTTTTGTTTTAGTGATCACAGGACGGAAATAACCCTTTTACTGTGTTAGCATCTTTAGCATAACATCTTGCTTGTGTTACATGTTTTTCCTGACGACAAAGCTAGCCAGCTAGCTACTGCTAACCCCGTCTGTTTCTTCACAGCTTTTTTTTTCTGGTTTCAAACCTTCACTGACGGACTTGCAGCATTTTTTTTTTCCAGTTAAAACCTCCAAATCAGAGCCTCTCACCTCTGGTTCACACAGTTTGGCGTTATAGGAGGACAGGGACACACACACTCGGTCTCTCGCCTCCGAAAACACCGAGTCGTCAAACGTGCTGCCTAATATCTCCATCCGAAACCAAGAAATATCATTAATTTCCCAGTTTCAACAGGTAAGCGTGTCTGAATGATCATATAACTTCAGCTCCACTTGTTTGTTTACACCCTCGTGGCAACGCAGTCCTTCATCGTAAACTGCACGACTAATACAGCGTCCACAACTACAGTTCCGGGAAGAAAGTTTCCGGCCGATGAGGCGCGGTTGCATAGAGTAAACATTTCTAGACAGCATCCAAGAAAAAAACAAAAACATTCCTTGCTTTTTGACACTAAAATGTAAGATTTAATTTTGTTAAAGAACATGCAAAAAAAAAAACAAAAAAAAACTTATGAATATTTTTTTTCATCCTTTTTGAGCACATCTTTAGCTAAATTAAATTATTCCAACTTTCTAAATGCCAGAATTTTTTAAAATTTCTTTCTTCAAAGTCAGAAGTTTACATACATTTCCTTAGTATTTGGTAACATTGCCTTTAAACTTTATGACTCGGGTCAAGCATTTTGGGTTTCCTTCCACAAGCTTCTCACAATAGTTTGATGAATTGTGGCCCATTCCTGCTGACAGAACTGGTGGAACTGAGTCAGGTTTGTTGGCCGTCTTGCTCCACATGCCTTTTCAACTCTGCTCACAAATTTTCTACAGGATTGAGATCAGGGCTTTGTGATGGCCGCTCCAAAACACTGACTTTGTTGTCCTTAAGTCACTTTGTAACTAGTTTGGTGGTATGTTTAGGGTCATTGTCCATTTGAAGACCCATTTCCACCCAAGCTTTAACTTCCTGGCTGATGTCCTGAGATGTTGCTTCAATAATTTCCACATAATGTTCTTTCTTTCGTCATGTGCACAGTCTCTCCTGCAGCAAAGCAGCCCCACAACATGATGCTGCCACCCCCGTACTTCACAGCTAGGATGGTCTTCTCAGGCTTGCCAGCTTCCCCCTTTTTCCTCCAAATATAATGATGGTCATTATGGCCAAACAGTTCAGTTTTAGTTTCATCAGACCACAGGACTTGTCTCCAGAAATTAAGGACTTTGTCCCTGTGTGCATTTACAAACTGTAATCTGGCTTTTTTATGTTGCTTTTGGAGTAATGTCTTCTTCCTCTCTGAGTAGCCTTTCAGCCCATGTCATTACAGGACTTGTTTCACTGTGGATAATGACACTCTCCAACCAGCTTCAGCAGCATCTTCACAGGTCTTTTACTTTTGTTCTGGTGTTGATAGAAACGTTTCACACCAAAACACGTTCATCTCTGGGACACAGAACCCGTCTCCTTCCTGAGCAGTATGATGGCTGGACATTCCCATGGTGTTTATACTTGTCTATAATTGTTTGAACAGATAACTGTGGAACCTTCAGGCATCTGGAAATTGTACCCAAGGATGAACCAGACTTGTGGAGGTTCACAATTCTCTTCCTGATATCTTGGCTGATTTCTTTAGACTTTCCCACGTTGTCACAAAAGGAAGCAGTGTGTTTGAGGTGTGCCTTAAAATACATCCACAGGTGTGCCTCCAATTAACTCAAATGTTGTCAATTAACCTATCAAAAGCTTCCAAAACCATGACATCATCATCTGGGCTTTCCCAAATACTTTGAAGGAATAGTAATCTTCTGTAAACTACTGACTTTAAAGAAAGTAATTTTTAAAAAATCTCTAAAAAGTCTCTCTCTCTTTATTCTGGCATTTAGCAAAGAGAAATAATTTTGATAATCCTAACTGACCGAAAACTGGAAATGTTTAGTCTGATTTAATGTCAGACAGTAAGAAAAAAAAGGATTTATGTCTTATTATACAGTGCATGTAAACTTTTGGTTTCAACTGTATATCCTCAAAGCGCCAATTCTCCTGGTTTCCACTCAGTGTCGGTATCAGTAGTCAAAGTATCTGTACTTCTGCCTTTCCTTGATATCTGCCACAGCAGTGAAGGCTGTGCGTGGAACAAGCCGTGTTATTTTCATATGTACAGTAACTCTGTTCTGCCTGCTTCCGAATAAAGTTCTGCTACTTGTAGGTTTTGAGTGACTATTCAGCAGGTAGACGTTTACATGGACAGTTTGCATTTTCAACAGCTGACACTGCATCTCAAAACTGTTATACAAAACTGTTATCATTTAGTAGTAACAAATTCTGAAAAAAAAAACACACAAAAAAAAATCTTCAGGACGCGTGGCCAAGTAAAAACCTAACAATTTAACACATGTATTTTTTTTAATAGGACATTATACAGTACTTCCTGTTCAGCATCCACATTTAGTCCAGACAGTTTTATAGCATTTATTCAAAGCAAAACACTCAAAATGCTTCTCACAAGTGCACATCTTTTGATCAAAATTTATTGGGTTTCGTCCTCAAACAAGTATAAAATATAAATCTTTTCTAAATCAAGCTAGAAACCAAGCCAAAGCCTCAATAACAGCTGGGACTTTAAATTAACATTGCACAAATTGTCAGTCTTACAGCTGGTAGCTACAAGCTGAAGATTGCAGGGGCCACAAAGGTTTTTTTTTTTCTTTTCTTTTCTTTTTTAGCTTTCTAAAGCAATACTGCAGAAGTGATTACACATACATACCACAATTAATCAAAGATTCTGACAGATACTCTCAGTTTTTAACACACTTCAGATGCGGAGTGGATTGTTAGTTCCATAGACACAGAATAATACCAATTTGGGCTGTGCTGTTGAGATGTTTTGTCATGAATAAAACCACAAGTAAGTCAGTTTCATTCCCAGAAGTTAATCTGCTTGACACTCTGGCTAATGCGTACCGGTTTATGTAGGTTTCTACAGGACTGAGATCACAGCCGAATTCAAAAAACAAAACAAAAAAAAAACTGTCTCTAAAGCCAGGAGTGATGTTTTTAAATGGCTTTACCACATTCATTAAGGCAGAGCTTACAGCTAGATCACTGTATTTCTTTCCTGTGTCTATGGAAGCAACTGTAACTTAATACAAGAGCTGAGAAATCCCTGTCATGTTCCAGTAAAACAACTCTGAAAATATGTTATACTGAAGCAGAAACAACGTTCAGTTCATGATTAAAAGCAAATCACGCCCACTGAAAGCAGTAACTTGGGGTAAAAACTGTCAGCAGGTAAAAATTAGATCAGAAAAAAACTGAAGGTGAAAATTCCACTGTAAATGAGTTAAAAAAAACAAAAACATTTCTGTTAATACATACATTATGTTACAATTCTGACAAGGTGTTTTTTTTTCTTTACCAAAAAGCTGGCGGCTGTATAGTGAAAACATCTGAATCTCTGATTGCTGTAAGAAACATTCAACCGACTACCTGTCTAAATACAGAAAAAACGAGGGAGGACTATAGCAGGAGTATAGCGAAGGATACAGATATGACATATGAGCATAATACAACAGCAGGTAAACTACTCAGATCACAATGTTAGCTCTACTGCACAAGGTTAACTGGGATACATGAGTGTTGAATATAAAATCACACCTCAGTGAACAGACATGGCACCTCAACAGACCTGGGGAGAAGTGTTAACACTGGTTTCTACCAATAATATTAATTCAGCTCACATGAGGATTTCATTAACTGTCAGGAAGGACAACTTTTGTTACAGTATCACAAAAATAGACAGAAAATGTCATCACTTGGACATTATCAGATTGTTTTTTTCAAAAACTTAATTTTGGAAAGCTTTCTCTCGAGTATAGATTGCAAATCAAAGATGGAGACTTTAGGTCTGAAAAGCACAGAGAAGCACAAGTGCCTCAAACCTGCATTTTGTTCTAAGCGCCAGCAGGGGGCAACTTGTGTGGTTGCAAAAACCTGATAGTACAGAAGTCTATGAGAAAATGACCCTACTTCTTTGAAAAAATTTAACCTCAGTAAACATTTTCATAATAAGTTTATTGACTCAATTGCTAGTTTTAAAACTTTTTGAGGATGGCATGGTGTTCATTTTGCAAATTATGGTCTTATTTAGACTAAAACGGATGACAAATTAGGGTATGTTTTAGGGGAGGGATACTTTGCGATTGCTATCGTATAACCATACATAGTGTGCTCAAGTCCTCCAACCAGATCTACTGCTTGTTTGTAACACTTGGTTTAAAATAATCAAGATGGTAACGGTTAAATGCCAAATTTCATGCTTCACAACTGTAGTCCACGGCGGATGTCACAGTCGCTACATCCATCTTTTATATACAATCTATGCTCCAGAGCTACATCAGACATTAAATAACTGTTCATCAGTAAACTGAATTTCACTTGTCGAATTGGTGGAGTTTCTTTTTAAACAGCTGTGATTTTGAGTAATGATCTTGTTCCATTTAAATTCTCGTCACAAAACAGCTTAGACATATTTTAGCATGATTGGGATACATTACAATACATTACAAACGAAAAAAACAAACAAACAAAAAAACCCTGTTTTTTCCAAGAATTTCACTTTTTGGAATTTCGTTACCTCAGCGCATGTCTATTCCATTGAGTTATGATTCTATATTTTCGCAACCAAAGTACCATTAGCCACTTGGGCAACACTGACTGAACTCTAAGACTGATTCTATTTCAAAAACACTATTCTATTGTACATATTGTATGAGTCTGTCTTGTTAACAAGCAATCCACTGATGTCTGGATAGAGCTGTAATGACAGTTTTTTGTAGATAGAAACATATAAAACCATTCAAAACAGACTGACTATAGTAAAGAAAGAGCACACTGTAAAAGACTGTGGGCTGGATACCTGGGGGCAGGTTTAAGCCTAATCTGTGGACTAAACAAAGCTAGTCATGGACATGCAAAATACCAAGAATCAACTGCGTATAAAAGGGCACGGAATGAGTGCACTTGGGGTGATAATGTAGTTCCATCAAAGGACTCCTTTCAAATGTTGCTCAGCTTGGAGCTCACTAATTCAAGCAGGCCCTTCCAAGCTATCAGTAGCTCGACTTAGTCAATGATCTGAAAAAGTTTCAACACATGTAAAAGAAAACAGGTCCATAGTTGCAGTCAACTTGGTAATAAAAAGTAACAGGTATTATTAAAGCTACACAAGCAGTTTAGCCCAGATTAGGCTTTTACTGTGCCAAGTATACCAACCCAAAATATCGTATGTACAAAATGAGCTGTTGTCTGTCTTGTTATTGCATGCAGTATTAGACAAAAGTGTACCTTAACATTTTGAACTTATTTTCATGGCCAGGCACTTGTCACATTACAACAGTATGGATAAAGGCTTCTCTTACAGCTAACGGCCAATATTGGCTTCAAAATGTCCATTAAAATGCCTTTTTGGAAAGCTAAAGGTGCCAGCATCTCGTGTGACAAGTGCCTGGTGACAAAATACAATTAATTTCGGAACCCCAAGGTATCCAAGTAAGGACTTACAACAGAAGTTTCCAAAGTCAACTTCAGAGTATCTAGGCATCTTTTAGCGTCAGCAGAAAGCAGCGCTCCATCATGCATCACAACTCCGTTTGAACAAACTGTTAATCAGCTAAACATTTCTGATTTCCAAAGTCGAGAGTTGGTGAAATTCTGTTCAAACAGGTGTACGAGCCATGTAGGCACATAGGTTTACCTGCAAAGCTTCATCAGGGTCCCTCCCCTACCAGTGAAAAACAGTAGTTGAGACAGGTTTCAGTCTATTGTCCTGTCATCTGAATGCAGTAAAGCATGAAGAAAACAGAAGGAGGAGGGGTATTTGGTAGACTTCCCACCACAGAGGGAATGATGTGCTGGTTCTTCATCACAACAATTCCTTCCGTGAGAGAAAGCAACACTTCCAAGAATGTTAGAATTTTTTGAACGGTTGTCAGTCATTTGAAGATGTCCCTTTAGCCCCGTCTGTGTGTCTGCTGTGTTGCAGACAAGTTAATGAGACAGAGAACGAACATGACACTGCTAACATTTACAGAAATGCCTCCGGAAGAGCACATCATGAGTCTATTTGCTCATTTTACAAAAGTGGACTGGAGGAGAGGGGTAGGGAGTCAGATGGGGGCATAGGGGTGCAAGAGGGGCAAATGGGAGAAAGCTCCCATAATTTAAAGCAAAATTCCAAGACATGATGACAAATATAACACAAATGCATTTTCAAAGGGAGAAATGATTAAAATGGGGCTCAAATTGTGCAATTTAGTGAAAGAAAGCGGTGGGTGATTGTTCGATTGTTTTGAGCCATACAAACTTCCAACTATGAAACACATATATTATTAGAAAAGTGGATACACTGGTAATATTCCTCCTTGTGTGCAAACACACCAAGAATAAAAAAAGGCAAAATACTGGTTCAGTTTGTAATCATACAAAACAGGTTTGGTCTCTCAGAGCCATTTCATGGTAGAATATGAGATTAAGGTGCCTAATCAAGATTTAATCCACTATGAACACAAGTGGACAAAGTGCATTTTTTTTTTTCTAAAAGAAAAAAAAGAAGAAAAAGTTTGATTTAGGTGCTTCAGGTTTTTGTCTTTAGTGCAGACTGGAGTCATTATTATCTGAAATACTGTTAAACAGTGTTTCTTAAAGTACGGGTCGGGACCCAAATTGATTCACAGGCCTCATGTCGGTGATTTGGTGCTAACTTGCTGATTAATTTACTCTAAATTCACATTGTGTCTGCAGCTGGTGCTTACATTTACATGGTTTGAGGGAAACTCTGCTTTAATCCATCAGAGGCCCACCACCAGTAAAATACTGCAGCAATTTTTTTTCTTTTTATTTTCAGTGGACCCAGACGTCCACCTCACAGTGGCCATTTATTAAACTACAGCACACTGCTCAGGAGATAACACTTTCAACTTTGGCACAACAGCCTCATACTGTCTGAACCTACACAACCCACTTTGAAAAGGTCAGAATAACACAGAATGTGTTCTGTCACAAGTGAGACATGAATTTAAAAACATTAATAGCAGTGCATATTAAACACATTCTGTGGCATCTTTCTCCTCAGATCTGTAGGTTTTCAGTTAAAAATCTATAATATTAATGAAACAATGAACTAAGGGAAGACTTAAGAAGACATCCTGTGTTTCTTAAAAGCATCATGGCGTTGGCATTCATTCAGCATTAAGGTACTTCTTCTCCTGTCAGGTTAGGCCTTCATCTCAGACAGTTAATGTCTTTATCAGTCCATGCCAGCTGGTCCTTGCGATGATCTTCACAGGTGCTCAAGAAAACATGTCAAATCAACCCCACAATTAGATGTATGCTGGTTTCGTTGGGGACATTGCTCAGCAGTGACATCTAGCTGTGATACGTTTAAAGCACCTTTCTGAATATAACAGAGAAGTCTTTTTTTTTTGTTGTTGTTCTGTGTGCGCTGTTGGCTCGGGACCAGGAGTGAAACATTCATAACATTAGAGATTGAAGTTTGAATTAGGCCTGTGCTCATAACAGCATAACAAAAACTCCTTCTCAAGGAAAAGTGGCATCACTGTGTGAATAAATCTCCATACTGGCTTCAACTCAGCAAGCAAGGAGTGCAAATCTAACAAGGACCATGATGGACATTAAAACTGTCATCTCCTCCTACAACCTGTCATTTACAACAGTCAGTATAATAGTTTGTAAAGAAGGGCTAATGGATGCAACGTATTTTTGGGTAGCTATTTCATCTCAACAGTTTTTATCGTCAGCTCAGCTTGAAGATTGCACTTCACGGTGTTCCTTTTGACAAAATATCGTGCTCCGTAACTTTCATCAAAGTCTCATGTGCCACTGAAGATTTGTAGGCTTTGATTCTTATCTTAACCTTACTTACAATACAGAGAGCGTGAGCTAAAGCTAATAATCCATCTGTTAGTCTCATGTAGATGTGATTCAGAAATAGTTGGAAAAAACAGTGAATTAATGTTGCAAATGACTACACATGCAAAGTGGCAAATAAAGAACTTGGTTTAGCTAACTGTCTTCCAGCATTGATCAATCCAGTACTTCTCTTGTAACATTCAGTAAAGTTTCACCTTGCTTCCCACAATCACTAGTCTTCGGAAACGGACAAAGACTTCCTGACGCTACGTGATGGCTCCCAAACCTCACTGTCGTCTGTTTCCTCGCCGTCATCCTCCTCGTCTTCTTCACCTTCATCTTCCTCTCCCATTCCTGCCCCACCCTGCTCCTCGGTGGCCGCCGACGCCTCTCCCTGCGACTCCTCTTCGTCCTCCTCTGCTCCTTCGTCTCCGTCCGTCCTGCCTGCAGCTGCCTCCTGGAAGGGATCTGACCCAACGTCTAAGCGTCGCTGAACCTCGGCGAACCACTCCCTGACCTTTTCACAGAAAAAGAGACGCCTTAGCTGCATGTTGACAGTAGGTCACGTCCTTTGTGGTATTTCTAAGAATTTGGGTGAAACAGATTTGCATTTTTAACTAATGAAAGACTAAGGGTCAAAATGTGTGCACATTTTTTTGGGTTCTTTTACTGTCATAGCTGATGATCTGCAGAGCTTGTCCATGAGATTTTCTGGAGTGCAAAAACGTTTTACTGACTGTTAACTGCACGGTTCGAATGACATTAAAATGTGTTTACATTGTACAAATAGACACATATTACACATCATTGCTGTTTTAGGAACAATTTTGATAATCTTTTGGACTAAATATCCTAAAATGTGGTTATTTTGTGGCTCATTTATTAAAAGTACATTCAAGATATCCACAATGTCATTCTTTCTGTCCACAACTGTCATTTCACATATCAGTTTGTCGTAAAAGTGACACCATAAGTGTGAATTGCAGATATCTGTGGCTGCATTATGACTAGTTGTAATTCCACTTTCAAATATCAACAATTTATTTTAGACTAGTCATGATTCTACTTCAAGGTATCTATATTGTCCTTTTCAGATATCCTAATTTAAGCCTTATCTACCATATCAACCGCCACTACTTCTGCTAATGCATGCTTTGCAGAACCAATAACTACTGGTGACACTTGCATAAGCAGTATCTGTGATATTTGAGACACATACAGCTATTATTCTGACCAGTCAAAAGTGAATTCCAGATATCTGTAAATGTTGTTTCAACAAGTAGGAATGACGCTATAAATACCCTGAATAAAAATTCCGACCAGTTACAGTGTAAATATCACTAATCAAAAAGACGTTGATCTCTCTAATTTAAATTCTGCTCTGTAAGCTGCACTAAATAAAAAAAAAAAATAAAGGAAAAAAGTATCAGCCAGGAAAACTGCAAAATCATACATTCAATTACAATTATTTTTTGAGAATTTTTATTTATGTTTATTTTCCTACTTTAAGTTAAACGTCAGCCATGTTGCATAAAACATGGCCTAAAAGAGGACTTAAAAATGAACAAAAACTTCAGTGAATCATGTAGTTTGGAAGGTATTCCTATTTGTTAAGACACTTTCTGTCTTTGACAAGTGAGCAGTGTCTTAAATCAACTTAATGAAGCCAGAAACGTGGATTTTCTGATCACCTTAGTCCCATGAAGCGTTCAGATATTGGGGCCCTGGTGCCAAAATATAAAATAATTTGTGATAAAAATGCGGTTCTGTTAATTACCTGTTCATAGCTCATGTTGGTCTTGGTGACAAGCTCATCCAGATCTTGCTCGTTGAGGAACTGGTACTTCAGGTAGTACTCCTTCAGGATCTCCCTCCCAGTCTTGAATTTCTTTGACAGGGGTGACCTGTCAACATCTGCACTGGAGGCCGACCTCCGTGGCTGCTTCCTGGTTCGGGATCGCCCCCAACCGCGATGTCTACCACGTCTTTTACGGCCGCCGCCGCCGCCGCCCCCCATTTTACCACTACCTCCTCCATTTGGTCCTTCGATGCTGCCGCTTTGGTACTGAAAGAACCATTTCAGGTTTCCGTTCTTCCAGGAATACCGAGAGTCTCCAAACCAGCTGACGATGTAGGAGCGAGCAAGGCCGCTCTCTTCTGCCAGCTGATCGTACTCCTCTGGTGTGGGCCACTGGGTCCGCACAAAGGCACTTTTCAGAATGTGGAGCTGCTCCGGAGACTTTTTAGTTTTGTCTTTTAGGTCTTTCCTGCTGCTGCCGGGCATCTGCTTACTGCGACTCCCTGGAGGTGTTTGACTACCCTTTCGAGACGATGTGGCAGATGGAGAAGAAGAGGTTGCTCCTCCTGTTCCTCCTCCTTCCAATGCTTTTGCTCCATCTGTTTCCATTTTTCCTCCCTCAGAAGAATCCGGCGAGGAGGTACTGACAGATGGCATTTTTCGTCTCTCAGTGAACCAGGCGTCAATCTCCCTCCGTGTCAGTTTAGTCTCCGTCCTCAGGCGGTTGAATTCTTCATCTGATGGGGTGCTGCTCTTCTCAAAACTCTCCTCCAGCACCACCAGCTGCTCTGGTGTCTTCTCCTTAAACTTCTGCAGAGTAAAGTCTGGGAAAGGGTTCCAAGTTTTAGACCGGGTCTCCTTCTCCTTCACAGGAGGAGTGCGTGGAGGATGGGGCGATGTGGGGGTCACATCATCGCTTGAGTCAATAACAATAGTGGTGCCAGCAGCGCTGCTACAGCCGCCACCTCCTCTGCCCCCTCCATCGTGGAAAACAATGACATGGCTGTTCTTGGAGTTGCGCTGGTTGTACCGGGTGTCACTGAACCATTTTTTGATCTCTCCCTTTGTCAGGTTCGTGACTTTCATCAACCGGGCAATTTCTGCATCAGTGACAAAGTGGTTTTTCAGGTAGCTGGCTTTCAGCTCTGCCAGCTGCTCTTTGGATTTCTTAGGTCGCATATTGAATGTGTCAGCACTGAGGGCTGAGTTCTCCTTAGAGAGAGAAGGAAAAAAAAGACATATTAATCAAGTCTCAAATACCTGGTATGAGAAAGATAAAATGGCCACATATGCAACGAGTGCAATTTGCACAACTTATAAAGAAACCATGAGGTCATTTTCTACACTAGTTGAGCTTAAGAAATCACAAACGAGCTTGCTGACAGCAATAACAGCACAAATCAGCTTTACGCATTTTTCCCACCTGTGGAGAAAGAGAGGGAGGCTGGACAGTGGTAGCCCGTTTCAGCTCACTGTTTGTTGGGGTAGGCTGACAGGGAACTCTGCTGGAGCTCTGAGACTGACTGGGCAACCCTGCCACTGTCAGTGTGATGGGACTGGTCACTGGAAGGTTCCCCCCTGGTCCAACCTGCGGAAAAACCAGACAGGGTTTATTAAAGTGGTCTTTATTGCTAAAACAAAACTGTGTTTCAAATGTGTAATTGCTATGTTTCCTTGTACTTGTGCCACTGGACTTTTGGTAAGGTTACACTTCCCTTTTGCTCTTATTTGTAAAAGTCTGGCCAGACACCAAAACCAACACAGACAAGGAACAGCCAGTGCAGTGAAAATGATTTCAATCAAGAGGAGCGTAATCATTCACCTATTCACTCTATAATCATTTGGTACAAAACCTCAGTTCCCAAGCTACGATGCATTTTCATTGTAATGTGCGATGGCATGAAGCAGTTTGTGTGTTTAAGATGAACTGCATAATGTTGTTTCTCAGCAGATCATATAACATTACTGGAATCCAGGCAACAAGCAAACCCGGCATGTATGGCAGTGGTTTGTGAAACGGTTAAAGGAACGTATTTACAATGTGGAATAATGAGGTCATGTTAATAAGGTCAATGAAATAAAATTCAAAGGGGAGTCAAGCAGCTGTTTCTTCGATGAATTTAGCATGGATTCACTCTGAAACATTACCACCCATTGAAACTAGTGCATTGTCACGTCTTTGAGGGAAGCTGACGGACATACTGCAAGCTTTTCTTACCTACCTGTGTGAACACGAGGCCAGGCTGGCCGACTATCTGGCAGGTCTGAAGAATGGACTGCAAACCGTTAGCAGCAGCTGAGAGTTGGTGAGCAGGTATTACAGTGATGGTCTGAGGCACTGTGTGCACCGTGCCGTTAAACTGTTTCCTCCTGGCCTCCTCCACTTCCTCGGGAGTCCAGCTGACACCGTGCTTCAGTCGCTGGGCTGAGAACCACACCTGGGATCAACGGCATTTGATTATCTTTTGCTAAAAAGAGTCAGCATGTAGATGCATAGATTGAGGTTGCTTTTCACTTGATAAAATATACACAGATATATAATTATGCATAAATACCAAGACAGTACGCTGTTTTAAAAAGCATATCAAAACAATGACATACGGCTGACAGAATCACATACAGTAAATATAGTATTTCATTAGAGACAGGGGAGGTCAGATCAGGCGTCCAGGTAGCACATTTTCCACAAGAACAGTTTAGGGATAGAGACAGAAACAGGGCAACTTCATTAAACCCACATATTACAAGAAAATGAAAAAACCTCAATACATGGTGGGAAATTCAGGCCATCTGACAAACAAACATTGAACAGCAGGGAAAAGGAGACAGCTTTTGATGCCCACCCCTCTTTATCAATAATTGGTTTTACACTGACATACATGGCATTATGAAAATATAGGGGGTATGCTAGCTAAATTTAGAGGTAATTAGGTTGAGCCTAACTTGGTTGAATTTTTGCAGATGCACTTCATCAGCAGAGAGGAGACAAAGGAGATGATGACTGGAGCTACAGAGCCTTTCTAGACCATGCAGTCCAAGGGTTTCCCCATCAGTTAGTCCATGAGTGTGTGTTATGCTAATGGGTTTTGTTACTGTTGGAATATTTAATACCAGATCAATAAGTACTGCTAAAAATAAAGAGGTAATTATTAGTTATTGTTATGGGCCTAAAATTCAATAATGCTGCATCACTAAAAGTGGGTGATTAAATTTCAACCCTATTTACTTGTAGGGATTTTAAGATGTCTTGCAAACAAGTGGACACAAACAGATGAAAATACTTCCGCCTAAGCAATCTACTAAAAAAAAATCTCCCGACTTCCATGTACCTTGATCTGCTCCTCTGTGAACTGTGTCTGTGCTGCCAGGCTGCTGATCTCAGCCATGGAGGGGTAAGGAAACTTCTTGTATGTATTGCCCAGCAGGGGGTTGGTGTCCATAGCTGCACTGTAGGAAGGGATGCTGCTGAGGGGAATCAGGAGCTGGGGCTGAGCTGCTGCAGTGCTCTGCTGGGCCTGGAAGGCAGAAAGCACCTGGAATAGAGAAAGAGAGCGAGGAAAATGACAAATGTGGTATGGTGCCCAAGTTGTAATTGGCAAGCTGCTGTCCTGCTGAAGTGCTCCTGAACAAGACGATGTATGTTTATCAGCTGCAGGACTTCTGTGATGCTGTTGATATATATCATTAGAGTAATGCTTTGTCAAAAAAGTCCCATCAGTTTTTAGCTGCTGCTGGGTCTAAAAACATGGGCATTCATGTTTTACAGATAGGGATAAAGATATCATCCCTATGCCTGTATGTCTGTGTATTAAACACTTAATGATCTACCTGTGCCAGACCAGCAGGCAGAACAGTGGGGTTTAAAATAGATGATTTCCTCTGGTGTTCTGGTGGGCCGAGCAGCAAACCACCCCCGCCGAGCTTCATGGAGTCGTGCAGCAGCATCTCCACTGGCGTCATGGGTCCTAACGGTGCTTCAATGGGCTCCTGCTCTCCTCCCAACTCTCCCTCACTACCTACTCCAAACCCTTCTGCTCCCTCATCTGAAGATTTCAGAGACACAGCGATCCTCTTGGGTTCAGATTTGGTCTTCATCCTCATGATCGGTGTTTTGCTGAGAGAGATGGCAGAAACTGCTGCAGGGTCTGCTCCTCCCTCCTCAGGTGCATCACACTGCTGTTCCTGGATCAGCTGGTCACTGCTCGGATCCTCTGGAGGATTTGCAGCGCTGCGCTTCAATGAAGGACCGATGACTTCACTATCGTCTCCAGTAGAGACACTGGGTTCATCTAAAATAGTAATGATAACAATAACAACACATTTATTGTGGCACATGATTCATGTTGAATTAGATTGACAGTGAATATGCGTATATGAAAAGTTTAACTGTTCAGTGCCTATAAAAAGTATTCACCCCCCTTGGAAGTTCTCCAGTTTTATGACTTTACAACATTAAATGTTGGTCAATTTATATGGCTTTTTTGACAAGAATGTAAAAAAAAAAAAAAGCTTTCTAAAAAGTAAAGATGAAAAACAGATACAAGATCAGTGAGGGAGGCCACCAAGACACCTATGACTCATCTGAAGGTGTAACAAACTTCAGCAGCTGAGATAGGGAAAAGCTGTTCAGTGCCTGTTCTTCACCAATCAAAGCTTTATGGGCGAGTGGGAGAGTAGCAAAGAAAACCGCTGTTAAAAAAAAAATCATATTAAATCTAGACCAGAGTTCACCAGAAGGCACGTTGGAGACTCTGAAGTCAACTGGAAGAAGCTTTTTTGGTGTGATAAGACCAAAATTGAGCTTTTTGGCCACGAGTAGAAATGCTATGTTTGGCAGACACCAAACACTGCACTCATCACAAACACAACATCCACAGTCTGGAACATGGTGGTGGCAACATCATGATGTGACGCATGGCGGCGGCAGCATCATGATGTGGGGATGCTTCTCGGCAGCAGGCTCTGGAGAGCTTGTAAAGGTAGAGGGTAAAATGAATGCAGCAAAGTATAGGAAAATCCTGGATAGCAACCTGATGCAGTCTGTAGGAGAACTGTGACTTGGGAGAAGATTTCCCACACAATGACCCAAAGCATACAGCCAATGCTATAACAAAATGCTTTAAGACAACAAAATGAATGCTTTGGAGTGGCCAAGTCAGAGCGCAGACCTCAATCCAACTGAGAATTTGTGGCTGGACTTGAAAAGGGCTTTTTTTTTTTTCTTAAGATCCCAATGCAATCTAACAGAGTTTGAAAAGATTTGCAGAGAAGAGGTAAAATTACAGTGTCCAGATGTGCAAGGCTGATTGATACCTAACCACACATTGCTGTCATTGCATTCAAATGTGTATCTACTAAACACTGACATTAAGGAAATAAATAACTAATGCAGTCTCTATTGTTTTCTTACTTATTTCTTGTTTCCTAAGTTTTACTTTTTTAAAAAATTCTTGTCAAAAAAGCCAAATTTTAAAATCGCATAAAAGGGGAAAACCTCAAAGAGGGGTGAATACTTTTTATAGGCATTATATTTCAGGCTTCTGAAATGCCATTGTCATCCACACATGGAAGATCGGGTCAGCTCTTACCTGACTCTGGTGGAGCCGGAACAACCACTACAGCCTGACCCAGCTCCTCTGCAGTCGGCCCCTCCTCCGGTCCCTCCTTCACCTTCCCCTCCTCTTCCTCCCCTGCCTCTTCCTCCTTTGTCCTTTCTGCTTTCTCCTCCACCTCTTCCTGCTCCACCACATCAGAAGGCAGCACCATGCAAGGTGTGGTAGATTTCCGGCGGCTTGACATTGTCACTCCAAACTGTGTTTACTTCTGCTATGGTAATGAAGATGTGTGGCAGAACTGTCGAGGTTCACATATCGTAGGCAGCTGTGCTCACATGTCCTTCAGGCTTTGAATTATGTATTTCTGAGGGAAGGAACAAAACAATTAAGCAAATGTCACAAATAATGTGTCCACTGGTGCTGATGATTTATTGTTTAAATGAGCAATTGTTGTTTTACTGTTCTATAAATGTTAAGAAATAGCATGTGGACCAAGAGGCCAGCTTAGCTCATTAGCGTAAAAAATAAGGTCTGCATATCACTGAAAAATAATTTTGGGTACATAAAACAGTTAATTAGTTCAAAGTTAGTTAATTAGTAGTCCTTTTTAGTTTGGGATATACTGTACATATACATATTTCCTATATTCATTCATAGGACTGTGAATACTTTATAAAGACTTTTAAAGCTGCTTATAACCCATGACAACATGTATCATGCTGCGACATTAAGGTTTCAATATTGTTCAAATTCTTCCAGTAAACAAGTTAATTCACGGCAAATTCATCAATGACAGTCAGTTCATTGTTTCATTTCTTCTTCCTATCAGTGCATAATGAATAGTTTAGGACTGTGACTCATTTCTAAGACATCACTTTGAGATCCTCTGCTGTGTGACAGGCAATGTCATTAATTTTAGAGACCAAACAATTACTTGACAAAGTAACCACCAATTAATAATATGAGTTACATCCCTTTTTACAGCCACGTTAAAAAATACGTGCACGCCGTAAAAATTGCTGACTTATTCCAACATATCTGAACAAAAAAAAAAAAACACCTGTCCCTCTCTGAAACAGTGCTTACAGTTAAAGGCGACATCCTCAAACAAAAGACACATAGAACAAAACATTCTGTTGTCATTTTCAGGATTTAAATAAACAGCAGAAGTTACATGGAAAATACAAGCACACTGCCACACTTATCAGAACTTCCTCAGAGTAGAATCGTCGGTTTCAGATCAAGTGCCAATAATTGGAAGTGAAAGGTGGAACATGGCTTACTCAAACCTGATGTCTAGGATTTGGGGTTCTCTTCTCTGTCTGGTTTTGAGACTTTTGTTATTTTAATCAATACTACAGACTGACCATTTATCAGTTTGGCCAATTCTGAATCTGATATTTCATGTTTATCCAATTACTAGAGTTATTTTATGTAACCAATTTCCAATAAGATAATTCCTTTAAAAATGTGCTAGTTTGGCTCTGTCTATAGTCACAACTCTTTGGTCTTGATCAATGTCATTCCCACAGCACAACCTGACTGGTGACATGTCATGAGTAACAGCCCATCTACAACCAAGGACAGATGTTGAAAAGCTCTCTTTGCATTGAATGCATGCAAAACATTAATAAACAAAGGAACTTTTGTCTTCGAGTTTGTATTATTCTAAATTTTGACTCTGAGATTTTTCATCTTCACTGCAAATTTGTATAAGTTCTCAATACTGGTTACCTGTCTCCTTGTTTACTAATCATCGGTATGGACTGCTCCAAATTCATACCATAGTCACACATCAATCCCTATTTAATAAAATTACCACGATGGACAATGTGGGAGCAACTGGGGGCTCAAAGCTTGAAGATATTCCTATTAGTATGGACCACCAACATTATTTGATCTTCACCAAGACACTGTTTACATTTTGTTTTATAGCACAGATTGCCTGGTTACAACAAATGTTTAATTAAATGTCATGGCTACAGTCTTTTGTCCTGCTAGGTAATTCACTGTGACATAACAAATATTTTCAAACACCCCAATGTGCTTTGGGCCAACTTCTCATAAAGTCACAGATAATACAGCAGTAACAACAACTGTGTGTAGGCTACAACGTGCTGCCATCGTTTGCATTCACAGTTAGCAGCTCAATAACGTGGAGGTGTGAGCTAGCTAATTATTAAAGAAACCTTCTAGCATTTTTTTCATTTCTTTCTCTTTTTTTTTTCTTTAAACACAAGGACGTGGCGTCTAATTTAGCTCCAACAGCATCTAGCGTGTGAATAATGTGGGCCACCTAGCCAGTGTTAGCCGGGCCGGTCTGTATTATTGATCACGTCTGGCGGTAAACTTACTGGAACTACTGAAATGTGCACTGTGTTGCTACCAGGCTGTCGAGACGAGGCGAGGACTGATTTCCTGGGTCTCGGCAGAGCAGCCTTGAGCCTTCAGGTTGTCTGGCGGTATCTGTCCTCCGTCCCCCCGGGCTAACCGTTCAGCCCACAGCCTGGCCGGGCTGGACTGCAGCAGCGGTAACGTTATTCGGGCTTTGCGGGTCTCCCAAACCCCCCTAAAAGCCGAGGGAGGCAGACAGACAGGCGGACGGACGGACCGGTCTAACGGCTACGGCACTCGTTTGCAGATGCTGGAAACACCGGACATCTCTCCCCCCTCGTCGGAGCAGGTTATTTTAACGGCAGGAGCGCGTCTTTTTGTAAAAGTTAGAGCCTCCAACGCACGGCGGTTACATTCACACCGGGAGCGTCGGCGCCGTGTTGTATGCTGACCTAATTCTCTGATATTTTTTAACGGCAGATTTTTTTAATGATCAAACGGCGTCATCATTCAATGAGATACGTCCTGACGTCATTCCTCGGCGACTCTCGGTGCTGTGAAAAATTTGGGCAACTTAGCAAAAATGCCTAATGTTTTAGCGGTGTGGTGGGCTCTTTTTTTGATGTGAATTAAGCTACGGGTTGTCCAGAAAAGAAAGTGGATGTGAAACAATGTGTGAACTGGGCCGTAAACCGCTTCGGTTCCCCGGTCAGGCTGTCTGCCAAAATGTCCTTACATGACCCGGCAGGGCAGCAGGAGAAGCTACTTAAGGACAACACTGACATTGCAGCGTTTCCTCACAGTGGAGCTGCTGCTGCTGTTGTTCTTCAGGCTTTTCTCTTAGTCAAATTTAACAGTTTCCTTTCTGTTTTTTTTTTAACAGGCAACGATATAAAAGTCTTTTGTTAAAGCTGCCGTGCAAACGCCTCTTTGTGAATATATATAGCAACACCAATGCGAAAACAAAATGCAATTTTAGCAAATGGTGGAGCATGACAATTAACTGAGACCATTATTTAAATTGGGGGGCAATTTTATTTATTTTTATTTTTTACCAGAAAACTAATGTTTTTTTTTGTTTTTTTTTAGGTCACTCGTTTTAATTGTTAGCTTATGCAGACAAGGCTGCCATGCAAAGAACTCTACAGCACAATTAGCTTCTTTATGCAGCCCTCAATTGATTAAAAACTGGAACAGCTGCTAAAATTCTGCTTTATTTAAACTGTTGACAAAGCTCATAAGATAAATACATTATAAATTACACGAGATAAATCCAGCCAAGACACTTGTGTCTTCTGGCTGCAGGTTCTGGGTCAATCTTGTGATGTTTAGCAGTTTGGGCTCTTTGTTTCTAAAAGTTGTCAATGCAGGTTTCATCCCTGCAGTCTGTAAGCCTTTCAACTAAAAGAATAGCTAAACTTCAATCATACACATTAAAAAAAAAAAAAAAACATGTACAGATTCTTTACTTTTTAATAATAATATCAGAATTTTGAATTGTGCCAAAATCAGAGCAAATATCTTCTGGTTGGTCATAACTACCTGGTTGAATAGGAGGCAGATGCTGCATATGGCTGTACAGAAATGATTCTGCCAAAAGCTCTACTGGAAAAATAGTAATTACTGCATCTAACTCTATTCTACAATCACCCGTGTGGCTTTCGGACAACTAAGAGCAGAAATAAACAAATTCCAGAACCTAGCTCGGTGAAAATCACCAGTCATCAGCTAAAAAAAAACAAAAACAATCAGTATGGCTGGAGGAGAACTTTTGAATGTAAAAATACATCTTTTTGTGAATAGTTATGGATGAAACATCACTTACTTTACCTTGTATTACACAGAAAGGATCTGGAGCTTTTTTAACCAATTTATGCTGCACTATCACAAAGTCTGAGGGTTAAAAGGCAGATTTAAAACAATGGTCACAAACCATGAAGCAGACATGGAGACATGCATCCTTAAAATGGGTCGATGTGAAATTAGTGGAGTGATCCTTTAATTGTGGCAGTTAAGACTTTACTGATGCTTTTTCAGCCAGTCTGGATTTCACACAATCAACATTTCATTTGCACATGACTTAAGAAATTGTAGTAGTGAAACATAGAAGCTTAAGTAAACATGACACTTTGTAATAAAAATGTCACTAACACGCTGTAGTGAACAAGTGAATCAAGGTTGGCTAGAAGTTATGGCAAAGGCCACGCTATCAAGTTTTAACAAACTGCAGCATTTCACAGTCCTACAGTTCTAGTCAGTCTGTAATCTTGACCTCACAAAAAGGCACGCTAACATTTAGAGGAAAGTCATTTAATTAAATAGAAACAAAAGAGGTAATACAAAGTTGTAGCTAATGCACAAATATAGGTGGCCTGTAGATTTCTATGAAAATAGAACCAATGTTTGTATATTTACACAGTTCAGTCAGGAGATGAGAATAATTATTGAAAATGGTCACATTCTCTGTAGAAAAGTCAACAGAAGTCTTCGATCTCTTGTTCCAACTCCTAATAAAACAAAGAAGACAGGGAAAGGACTGTAGATTAGGAACACATTCTTGAGGCAAATGGAACAAAAACAGTGAGTAACACTGGTTATGTTCTATCTTGAGCCAGTGTGTAGCATTATTCATTGGGCGCAGGTGTCTTCTGACCCTGCGATTGTTGTCACGTCTGTAGCTTACTGACAGTCACTGTTAGGTGGTTATTAATTAAACCTGCACTCTTTGACGAGTCACAATATCTTCAGGAAAACAACCCTACAGTTTACTTGGGTTCTTCAGCACAGTCTGACACTAACCTGTATTAGCGCAGTTTTGTTGTAGTCTCGTCTGTGTCTATAGATGCTCTGGCAGAGTAGAGCATACAGTTTCTCCAGCTTGTAGACTTCATAACCGTCAGTCTTGGTTACTACCCTCTCCAACAGCTCCTGGTAAGATGAGAAACAAAGCATAGAATTGTATGCAGAAGACACTGTAGCTTAAAATCCCTCTCTAGGGAGGAAAAATAACAGTATAGACACAGAGAACTGACCAGAAAACACCTTAAGTCATCAGTTCTTAGGACTTTCACACCACAGAAAACAATTCAGCACACACAGACAGAGAGCATCCCACACCTTTAATTTGTCTCTGTCCACAACCAGAGGAGGAGTTTCCTGGTCCAGGATCTGCAGAGCTTTGTCCACATTGATCATCTGCTGCTGCAGCACAGCATTTTTTAGAGCCCGAGTCATTCGCCTCACGTTCCGCTCTGAGACACAAAACACACACAGAGGCAAACACACAAAGTGTTTACACCACTCTAACAGATGACAGACTGCTGGTATATTCACTCTGAGGCTACAAGCACTACACTAATAATTTTCTTTAGCTAGGGATTTGGTGGACATAAGGTCAGATCTTCTCTTTTTTTCCCCACATTTTTAATCAAATGTCTGTCATTATATCAAAGAGGAGCTTTGAGTGTGAGACTGTTAATATCCAACCTGTGCCTGTGTCATCCTCTCCCCTGGCAGCTGCAGAGGCATCTGTGGTTGAGGTTTCTGTTGCTTCCACCTCCACTGGCTCAGCGAGGCTACTCAGCTCTGCCTCCTCCACTGTAACTACCATGCTGTTTTCTTCCTGTTCTACAGACAGACTCTGCTCAATCTGAGTTTCTGACAGATTGAGAATGAGAGTTTCTACTGTGCTAGGATGCTGGCTGTATCTTTCTGTCTTGGTGTGGCTGTCCTTATTAGTGTTCACAGAAACTATTTCACCATTCTTATCTTCACCCTTGTGATTTTCCTCTGACTGCTGAGTAGAAGCCTTATCCACCTTTTCTTTTTCGTTCTGTATCTGGTTTTCATTTTCAGGTTTCTCTTTTTCACATAGGACAACTTCATCTTCAGCAGCTGATTTCCTCTCCTTGTTTTCCTTCTCCTCCTCTTCCTCCTCCTGATCCCTCGCAGCATCCACAAAACTACCTTCCTGAGCTGCTGCAGGTCCTGACTCTGCATCAACCACCATCTGATCTGCCTCAGCTCCATCGCCCTCATCACGGTTTGCTCCTCCTTTCTCAGTGTCATCCTCATCATCTCCATCATCCTCATCCTCATCAGACCCTAGTTGTGCATCATCTCTGGACACATGAGGAGAGGAGTACTTCTTCTTTGCAAGGTAGCCATTGGACCACCGGTTCTTTCGCCGCTTCTTCTTCTGAGCTGGAAGGGCGGAAACATTTTTGTTTTTATTGTCGTCCTTTAACTGAACTATCAAAATTCTTATTTTTTGTCATCTACAAGACTTTTTACCTGTGTGCTTGGGTGTCGTAACAGCAGATGAGCTTGCACTTGGAGTAACTGCAACTGTGATTCCAACCGGCTCCCTTTGTGGGGTCATGTCTGTGACTTTTGCTTCAGCAGGAGATTTGGGCTGTTTTGGAAGAACGTGATAGTAGGAGGGAGCAAATCGTGCATTGGAGCAACCTGTGGTCATAAAACAATGGAAACAAAGATGCGCAGTGCATTTATTAATCTCTGTGTTGTGACTGTTGTGACCTAAGCAAACATTATAATGTATATTCTGACGCTAACAAGATGAGGCTGTGCAATCTTATATGAAATCACAAATGAACTATACATAAAGGGAAAATATTGATAGATGTGCAAGCTTTTACTAATATCTATAAAAGGCTGAGTGCCTTAAATTACTTAAACTAAATTACAGTTAATAAACAAGATGAAATATGGTTGTATCACATTAGAAGCAAAAACCTTAAGAAATTTTCAAAGCCAATTAACATCAGAAACAAAGTCATGTCGACCCTTGGGTGACTACAATGATCTGTATTGGTTAATATTTTAAAACTGAGCTAAGTCACACTGTTAACATGAAAGTAAGTTTCTCTCGAGGTAGGTTAGGACAATAATAACCATGAGTCACACAAACACAGCGCAATGACCTCCTCTTGTTGTCCGTGAAACTTGGATCTCCTCACAGATCTTCTCAAAATCTTCATCCAGTTCATCTCTGATAATAGCGTGGACAGTGTCCTTCAATGCACATGCTCTGTGACGGATCTGACGGTCTGGGGGAAACATCCACACACACATTGCATTAAGCTAACCAGTGACTGTAAAACATTATACTGTACACATTCTCTGTGACCATGATGTATGTGTGTTTTTCACTGCGTGTACCTGAGGGGTCTCTGTCGGGGTTGTATTCAAGGGCATTCTGCCAGATGAGGTCCACGTCTCCGAGAAACTCCTTGACTGTCCCGTACTGATGGAGGTCTATCTTAGAGAGAACTGTTGACAGGTCCATTGGCTTCATGATCACCTCAGCATAATCTGGAACCTGAAACATACGACGAATGTTGAGCGCACAACAACACTGAGGGAAGGGGATCAAACTTCACACTGGATTTGAGCGCACAAACTCTGTTGATATGAGCATTACAACAAGTTGCATTTTCTGACTGGATTCCATATTGTTTTACATTGAAAACTATATTATGCCACATTCACCGAATATATATGACAAACCATTTTAAGATTTAACAGCCGAGTTTGACTATCAGAATAAAAATGACAGACATTAGCAGTGTTATTTTGACTAGTCGGAATTACACTACAATACATACCAGTTTTTAATCAAGATATCTACTACTTTGTTCTGACTCAAAATGACAGTTGGAAATATTTGAATTAATTTTTGACCAGCCAAAATAATTGCCGATATCTACCCTGAATTGTTGTGCATGACACTGTTTGTGAGACTTCCCACTGGATAGTAGCTCACAAAAAAATTTAAAAAGTGTTAGCAGATATAACAGCTGTTGCTGTTGTGGATGAGATTGTTGGAAAAGGCCTTGAAATAGAAAGAGCTTTTCAGCAAGATGCTAGTCAAGAAAAAGAGCTTTGTTCATTAGAGACTCGTGGTTTAAATTTACTAAAGCTTTGGCCTAAGGCTGCTCTGACATGGTAACAAAAAGGCTTGCAATATGTGGTTACAGTTTCAGCACCATGGTCTGTTTGAGAGTCAGGTTGGCTCTACTTCCGCCTCCCACTTGCCACAGTTTCAGATGCAACTGATATCTGAAACAGCATTTTGCCTAGTCAAAACTTGAATTGTGAAGACATCTGTAATTACATTTTGACAGGTAGAATTACAGTTTGAAACATCTACAATGTCATTTTGACTCTTTTAAAACTTAATTTAAGATATCTCAAAATGACAATATAGGTAAAGTGAATTAAGGGGATTTAAAGATACCTCAAATTTGAATTATGACTAGTCAGAATTAAATTATATCTGACTGGAATTACCATATTTGCAAGTGAATTGTTTCCAGCATCCAACTAAGAAAGTGTATAGTAAAAGTGGCTAGGAAGAACGTAATCGTTTCTATCTGAAATGTTAGTTTTGACCAGGATAAACTGAATGATGGATAACTACAATACATATCCAGTCTAGCTATAAACAAATTGCTATACTCTTCCTGTGTCACTGATGTTTAAAGAGTGGTAGGTGTGTGTGTGTGTGTGTGTGTGTGTTTGTCTGATGGCATGACTGAGTTACACACACACACCAAGCAGAGGCTACAGCAGATGAAATTTGGCTTTAGCTGCATTTGCACAACATTTGGCAATGTAGCTCAGTCCCACAGGGTTGTTTCTAAGTTTGGATGTGGTTATTTGTGCTTTAGAGCGTAATTGCTGTGGAACAATCAGAAAATACAGTTTTCTTCCTCAATTCATTTGTTTTTCCTACTAACATAGCTCCCTCTTGTCACTCACTCTATAGCTCATTGAGCTGGGCAAAAGGGGCCTAGTTTGAATGTTGTGTTTACAAACAGTAACCAAAAACTCTCTGCATGATATACCTTTAAGGGCTACCATCTGTAGGTAAATGTGTGACTACTCTG